TCTTGGAGTTAAGTTTCTTGTGACGGGACGATTGACTTGGACGCGGTTGTCAGTTATTTGTTTCTCTCACTATCTGACCGATATTCCAAAGACTAGATAATATAAGGTAATGTTCAGCATGGAACGCAAAAGAGGACGTAGGGATAGTTTAGAAGAAAGACGCAAGGTACCCGTTTCAACCTGCAGTGTGCCGCCGACAAGGGGATGACAAAAATTTGGAGGGTGTGACATTCGACTGATTTCATTAGCAAATTCATACAATGGACAGATGCTGATGGAAACGGGACCAGATTGCCCCGACTTATTCAACTTTCCCCAAAACCTGGCTCTCACGGCCCATAGTTGATGTAGAAGACTAGATCGTCAAGCCTTTAGGGAGGAAGTCATCACACGTGAATCAAATCGTAACCTAGTTGCTGAGGTGCTGTGCTTGTTGCAGACGGTCTTTGTTTTTGTTAAATACAAAACTTTCAAATGAGCTCATCTGAGCATTACACAGCAGTGACCCTAAGTCAGCATCTTCTACGGGGCTAACACAATTCCAGGAAACGACAGGCAGACCGGTAGATTGTGACAGTGAGCTCTCCACACGAACCGCTTACGTGACAAATTATGCATGCTGTTTACTCATTTGCACGAACCGCAGCCAAGAAGACACGAAGACTCGAGAACACTCAGTCTGGAGTAGCCGCTTTGCTTTTGCGTTGCCATATCACGGTTCAGCTAGAGCTAGGAGTCGGAATGGGAAACAGTCTTCCCCGGTACTCTTCATTTGTGCATAGCTAGCATACATTCCGGCCACCTTAACTTTGCGAAACTTATCTTCACGTTCATCAAATCTGTCGTGTTGTGCGGTGGCCGAGCTATTGGGTTACGCCTGCACTGCGCCTGCCAGACTACGCGATAGGGGGAAGACAGAGAACTGGGGACACGGCTGTGTTGCCAGGACAAAACATACAGAATGTCTGCGTAAATATATAGGATGACTAATTGGCCAAATATGCTCGTTCACTTGTTTGCTCCGTACAGCCAATGGTGGTGTTCCGGTTGTGAACATTCTCAGGCCCACTACGCTGGTCGTGTGTTGCTAAGTCGTTTGCTGAGAGCCGCCAACTCACCTACTTTCCGGAAGTGTCGAACCGATGGTGACCTTGGGGATGCGTCACTCTCTGCACATGTACTTTTTCTTGTCTGGGCGCGCCCTGACAAAAGCCGACTCACTATCAAACACACTTACAAGACACGGAATAGTGGACACACTGCGGTTAATAAACGCTTACTATGCTACGAAAACGCTACTTACCAAGTAATTAAGACTTTTGGGAACTCCGGATCGGAGTTGACAAGCTTCATAACAATAAATTTAGTGAGTGATACATGGACACCTTCCTAGTACATCCCTATGGGTTACTGAGGCGCATAAAACCAATGCACTGTTGGAAATTTTAATCTCTTCGTGATGTAAATCCATTCGAACGTTCACTCACAAGGTCACCTGATATTGGGGCTAAACGAGCCAAATCCCAATCGCATTAAAAGGAAAAACAGTCGCCTGATCGATGACCAACGATAACGTAATTCGTCCATTGATAATCGTTACCAGCTGTAAAGTTACCCGTGTCATTTTTCCGCCCGTACCAGACAATCACATTTTTATTATCTGACCGTCTTTAGAACCGGAGCAATCGGTTGGATTTCCAACCACCACGATAGAGCTCACAATACTTGTAAGTGGTCATACCACAGGATAAGAGATCCAGGCAAACCACCGTTGGGCCCACGCACCCACGATTTATGGTACCAACCTTTTCACGGAAGATTCAGCCGTTAAGCTAGTCAGGTACTATCGAAAATGCGTGACAGAGCTTGCGTACCGGGTCGGCTTTTGGATACCATGGCTCCAAATTGCTAGTCAAATAATCTTCACAATTGTCGACTACCAAAAAAGATGGTTCTTCTTCGGTAGTAGTAGGACCAAAACTTTCCTGCATCTTTTGGGAATGAGCATTTCTTCTGAGACAAGGGGGTCGACCGTTTTATGGAGAAAGTTGACATTCGTAGGAACCAAAAGAACTGCATATAACTACTAAGGGGAATGCACTGGTGAATGCAACATTGACGCAGAAGATAGTCGGCGTTGTCTTTCATGAGTAAGTCTATTGAACGACTAGTGAAACTCAGATTTAGGATTCGAATCAGGATTCCCAAGTCCATTACAGACACGCCGACGACATTAAATCCAGACGTGACACATGTACCGGTTCGTACCTAGGAAGTCATAAAATCAAAATGTTTCAACTACTTACAAAGATTCAGTAGCCGAAGATTAGGTGAACATTCACCACCAAAGACAGTGTCGGTTCTATCCGTCTGAACAGAATAGCGAGAGATGAATCTCGGGAAGTCATTTATTTTTTAGCCTAAGATCACACAAGTTCCACATAGCCACAGATATTGTGAAAGGCAAGTTTCCGTAGATGATATACGATTCTGTCGACCGTCAGCAACTTTGGCAGTGTCTGTCGATCAAAATCCATATTCCTTAAGGTGGCACTGTCTGTGAACTCCTGTGGCCGCCTACGTCGTTTGAGTTCACCACGCCCAGTGGTGTAAGACAAGGGTGTCTTCCCTCACATCTTATCATCGACTTTGTCATTGATATACTGCTTGAAATTTCCTTACCTCAACCCCTCAAACCTCGGAAGTTGAAATGCTACCGGAACGTTCCCTCACAGCCATTGAGTATGCCGACGATATAAATCTCCTTGGTTCAGATCCTTCCCAAATACAAACAATTTTCAATAACCTAAATAACTCTACCGCACGGCTTGGTGTGCGCTTCTCATCTGCAAATTGTCAAGTGCTGCTACCAGATTGGGTGGGATCAAATCCAAACCTCATGCTTGCAGGCAAGCCAATCGACGCTGTAGATACATTTTTTTACCTGGGAGTGGTAGAGGTTCCGTTGAACTGGCTAAAGATGAAATTACTTCTCGAATCAGAAAGGCCAGGGCAGCTTTTGAAAATTCTTGAACTGGCTAAAGATGAAATTACTTCTCAAATCAGAAAGGCCAGGGCAACTTTTGAAAATTTCCGACACCTATGGCGCCTACGTGACGTGAATTTGTCCGTCAATGGCAGAGTTTATACTGCGGTAGTGCGATCCAAACTGCTTATGGATCAGAAACTTGGTCTCTACGCACAGATGACATACGGAAGATGTCAGTATTTGACCATCGGTACTTCCAAATAATTGGTCAGGTCTGGTGGAGACATCGGATTAACAATGCTGAGTTACGCCAGGTGGTCTCAGGAAGGAGGAACTCTCGCGCGATACATGAATTACTCACGCTTCATAGGCTGCGCTGCTTAGGACATGTACTCCACATGTCAGAAGATCGTCTGGCTCGCAGAGCTCATTTCGCCCAGCCCTGTTCTGAGTGGGAGCGACCGAGAGGTGGATGGTGTACGACCTGGCAGCGAAGTACAAACACACTAACCAGTAAACTTAGTCGGGTGGGTAACTGGCGTCTCCATGGACGGGAACCCCGGGACTTAAATCACCAATCGTTAATGACATTGGCAGAAATGGCCCAATTGCACAGTCGTTGGCGCCCGTGCATTGAAGCTATCACATTCAATGCGCAGTTACCCAATTTCCGAACAAAGTGAACATACCTCCGCTTCCAAAGTTTGGTTGTGTGTACAAATTAGGACGACCAACTAGATATTCGTACTAATCACTCAGTGCATGATACTACAGAAAGAAATTATCAGAAACGCTGTTCAATTCAGTTGGCGTTTGCGAGGAGAATCAGTGTGTCACACTGCTGTAATGATTTCCTTTACTATACGTCCGTGTTTGGGAACACAGACGAAAGGATTCTTACATCAAAAACAGCTGACTCAATTCCCATTCACGAGTTACATAAACCGCACCAGTCACTTTGCCGGACCATTTTTACCGCCAGCGTTCTGGAGAGACTTTGTATCTTGAGTTCCACCTTTAACATCACTGAATACCTGGAGAGGTGATTTTAAGTGGTCCAAGACAGAAAATAACGAGCCGAAGATCAAACTTCGAACCTTTGGATTACTTTCATCTAACAGGAGCACGAAAATCGAAAAATTGTTTACCAAGGGAAACTACTCACAAGGTCGCTGAAAACTCTTCGATTGCCCACGACCGGTTTTGCCCTTCTTCGGACTCATCAGGTAGGCGCACTCCCCGAGTTCCCGTCAGGCTTATGTTTACCAAACTTTTTGAGGGGATGACAGGAAGCAATTTAGGTTCATACCGTACATAAGAACCCTATGAGGTTGAAACCTAGGGAGAACAATGCAGATAATTCGGTGATTGCTAAGATGAACAGTGCTGAAAACAACCACTAACCCACCGCTACGCACAACTACGCTCCCCAATAACGCACTGATGATGTCACCTCGACTGGTGATGGAACGTTTGCAATCAAACTGCCCAGCTCAGCAAACAAGCCGACGACCATCTTCGCTACCTGAGCCACCGACATTTTCCTCTATAGAAAACAAGATAGAACTTCCCGTAATACGTTTGTTCGACTTGACAGACACCATCGAGGGTCACCCTAGGAAACGGCTTATTGTGAGAGAACTACGGTAAAGCCGATTCAAAATGAAATTGTATTTTTACGTCTTTATTTTTTGGGTTGAGGGCCAACAGCCACATTGAAAATCCACTGGAGCGAGTCATCGTCGAGATGGTAAGTTACGACTTGACCACCTAGAGATCATTTGAAATGCAAGCGACACTTGGCTTACAAACGTTTCGTCGCCATTCTAAGGGACAAAATCAGTACGCAGTTGGGTGGCACGCTAATTGCCAAGCTCGGCGGAGAAATCAACTGCCACCTGACTATTGGTCAATTGACCCAACTGAGCTTCCAAAATTTAGACACATTGCCAACGGGGTACTACGCCTACCTGATGCGTCCAAAGATGGACGTAATCAGTGGCGGGCTGTCGAAAGGTTTCAACGTTCAGTCAATGAATCGTCACTTGATCAAGAATGGCCATCAGTGTGAAACAATGTAAAAAAAAATGGATAAATTGAGAGTATTCGTAAAAGCGAAATCAAAAGAGCGGAAATGAAACATAAAAATGCACTGGAGAAGCGAGCGGAAATTGTTCCTAGTTGTGAAGCTACCCTGATCTAATTTTGGTTTTGCATTCTTATTTAGATGTAACCATCATGGGAAGCTGGACTTTAAATTCTCGTGTAAAATGGATAAAAATTGATTTCATATCACAGTAAGTAATCATTCCGTAGGAAAACGGGTCACAGCGCAGAAAGACTTCAATTGTGCTTGTTCACAGCACAGAACTCGTGACTGGGTTAAAGACTGGGATAGAGTTGGTGTAGATAAACCGAAACACCAAAAAGTGCATCAAACAGCATTATAAATTCCCAATTCATCGGAAGGCGAACCAGGTGCGGTCTTTTCCCCATGAATTGACCGCAGTACGCTAATTGGTAAATATAGGTAGATAAATCCGAGGACAACGGGGGTAAGCGCCGCTACAGCAGCAACTGAAATGTAAAAAAAAATGAAAAGCAACGATGAAGCGATCGAAACTACACATGTGGGGCAAACGTATGAAGTGACTGGCATCGAGGGAGCAGACAGGTTTCTGGACCGGCTGAGTCAGGTATACCGAACACGCTGGTGAAATTAGCTTGAGATCGACAGAATGCTCAGGAAACAAAAAACCAAAACCCATTTTCGGTAACCAAAAAGGTGACAGACTTCATTGCCGAAAAGCACTACGTATAATGAATACCGGGTAACCCATTTTTCGCATTCGTATTGCACTGGTGAAACGGTGCATATTACTGATGGTGCGAGTAGTCTATGGTTTGGTATCCAAGATCCCCCGCATCTGATGGATGGTGATGGAAATTGTGTGCAGCGTTCGTTTACTATTGCGTAATAAACAATGAATATCCAGGAAATTTCGAGAGGAAGAATGTTCGCTTTTTGAAGACTATGTGCACACGAGATGTTTACTTTCCAGTCTCATGGGTTGTAACTGCTTAGTTCGTGTTCGCCAATAGATGAGTTTGCAGCGAAAGGCTTCCATCCTTTCAGTGGTATTGACCATTTTCAGTGGACATGGGGACTATCAACTATTAACTATAACACTATTAACACCGGGACCGTAGGAAAACGTACAATCACATGCATCAGGAGCCTGGTACGGCAGTGAAGCATGTTGGTTGAACACTGATGTCATGCTGTCGATGATGATGATGATCAGGAGCCTGTCGTTTCTAGGGTGAAAATACCTCATCGCGCTCCAATCATGATGATGATCAGGAGCCTGTCGTTTCTAGGGTGAAAATACCTCATCGCGCTTTATCCAATCATGAGGTTTCACTCAGCTATCGAGGTTAATCCTGACTAGGATGAAGCAGTTGGACAGCGCTTCTTGGCTTTTCGTCAGGATGAAACCTCAGGAAATTATCTACCTGTAAAGTATTGACCGTTCTAGTATCCAGTGAAACAGAATATATCCAAAAACACTGTTTGGACACGTCTTAGCCACCGGTTCGTCCAGCTACATCACTGAATTTCGCTACTGTACTCGGATGCAAATAGCACATTTAATTACCGTGAAAATCCAGCAAATAAACCAGAAGCTAATAACCATCCTTGTTGCAAAACGCTGCATTCAAATTATGACTACTATATACCAAGAAACTTAATTCATTCTACTGATAGCTATTCCGTGCGAAGTAACCATTTTTTCCGTGGTTAGCATGACAGTTAGGCATAGAGGGGGTGTTCCAGCTGAACAACTGTTACTAATTGACAGGACTGCAGTTTCCAGATAGAACCCAGATCATCCAGCCATCCGTTTCTAGTACCCGTCAACTCTACAATATGGTATCTGCATCATAACTGAGTTTGACAGCTCTTCTGTCACAGCGCCTCATAATCTAAGGAGGCCATTAGGTAACCACTTTACCCGGTGCACACCAAGGAACGAGGCAAACCAAGTGAGAACCCTAGAATTCTACTTCTGAACTTTGCCTTAAGATCACAGGTCACCTCTGATAAGTTTGTAATACATATTTATTCAGATACGGGTTATACCAGCGTAACTGGTGTATAGCCGCCTGCCTGAAAACGCAGAAGCAGTTCGAATCTCCAACTTATAGCAAACATGACATCGCAGCCACACGGTTCATCAGGAAATCATGAAATCACAACTGCAACAGACGCCATTGAACAATAATATTAGGCGGTCTAATTCCACAATAATATATGTTCCGCCTCTTGTGTTTGTGCCCGCATGAATTCTTGGACAACCGGCTTTATCTTCCTCCAGGTGCCCCGTGACCTTTCCTGAAAAAGAATTGTGCCAAATGCACAAGTTCTTAAGCGACCAACGCCATCTATGCCTACCATTGTTTCTAAACGTTTGGTGGTCTGCGTCAATTTCAATCACGTTTTACTGAATGTTATGCTCCGTTTATATGCTCAACTGTTACAACGCTTAAAACGCAGTTCAAGCTGACACATCCACACAAACCGCTAATTGCCGGGATTCTAATGCAGTTCAACTGGGACAACTGTTTGTGAATCGTAACTGCTCGTGTCCAGTGATAAAGCACGCGCATAATACAACACCTCCGAACTTACGGTGCAGTTGTTCTTTTTATTGATCACGTGCTGTCTGTGAATGCTGTATTGTGAATGCTGGAATTTCATTGTATGATGGCGTATAGGGCTTCACCTAATTGGACGGCGTGCTTGATAATCTATATGGGGGAGTGATGTCTTCGTATCCTTTCGTACGAGACATGATTTCACGACAGATTGGCGGGTTTGACCTGTAGTCGAAGTGAAGGTGCCGCAGCTGTTGGTCGAAATTATGTATCAGCTAAACTTGAAAGGAAGGCATACCGGAAGGCTGTAGTCGAAGTGAAGGTGCCGCAGCTGTTGGTCGAAATTATGTATCAGCTAAACTTGAAAGGAAAGCATCACCGGAAGGCACCTAGATTCAATCCATTTTTACCACTGGATTCATTCAACGGCGTCTCTATGTCCTTTAATGGTATGTGGTTCCAAACAGGTATTTTCTACACGTCTAGGGTCACGTGCAGCTAGTCAACATAGCGTTCTTTTTCGGCTTTCCAATGTTGACCGCCAGACCATTTCGAAATGTCTATGGAGAGCAGTGACGGTGGTTAACTTACCAGTTAATATCGGGAAGAAAATCAACGTTCCGAGACAAGTACCAAAAACTGCAAACCAGCGCAAATGTTTGTTAGTTGGAAAACGTGAGCGGACCTGAAACAAACAAGAGAAAATTTGTGTTGAACCGCTTCAGATAGGAAACAGAGTCAAGGCGAGCAGTGGTAAGAAGTTCACTACGAAGCACCGCAGAACGTAGACAACAGGTCTACCGGTCGAACTGTACTAGGAGGTAAGTTCTATTAAACGGGGGATTCGACAGCGATTTTCATCTGATGTCTGAGTAAGTACGCATGAAATCTGACAAACTGGGCTCCGTGCTCTATGAGCGGGAAGCAAGCTAGGCTACTGCACTGTGAATCTTGAAAGAATAACCATTGCCATGTTCATTTCATCGGATGATTTAAACAGTGTGTTCTACTTCATTTGTATGCTTCCGACACGATACTTGCGCACACCTTTCCAAGACTCACAGAATACTACACGGAAGACACTATGGTTCGTGTGGTCTGTGGTGTGTTGTGATTTAGTTTCGTGGTAAAATGTCGTCGATATGTTACATGTGTGCGAGGGCTACCACTAACAAAGGAATATGTCGTCGATATGTTACATGTGTGCGAGGGAATCGGAATCGTTATGTGGCATACAAACAGACTTTTCTAGTGCCTTTCGGTGCCTTTTTGAGCACTAAATGGAAGATGATGATGCGACAGTCATGAACAGAAGATTAACTACCATGTCTCAATTTCACAAACTGCTCGAGGTAAGAAGTCATGCAGGAAAAGGCATCGAAAAGGAAAGTGGATTGCTTTAAAGTAGGGCAGGAAAGGCCATTGAACATGCTGGCGAGAGACGCACCAAAAACGCGAAGCAAACAGCCATTAAAAGGTTCAGAGAAAAGGGAACCCGATATGAAATCGAGCAGCACGCATGAGCCTACACCAGCAGGCACTCATTCAGGCAATCTGGAGAGAAACTGACAACAAGAACGCTACTGACATCGATTAGAAGCTATATCTCACAGCGTCTCCAACCGGGCGAAGTTGGGGTCTCGCGATCCCGGCATCCAACAGCATCCAAACGTTTCGTAATCTCTTTCACACCCTTCTCCCAGGTTAAGGGTTGGCCACCTCTTTGCTTCCGCCACGCCATACTGGGCACTCTTCGGCAAACGATGGTTCGGCATACGAAATACATGGCCTAACCAACACAATTTCTGGAGCTGGGTACATTCTTCAATGAAAGTACCCGTTGCACAACCGAAAAATCGCTTTCTAATTGCCCCGCTGTGGATTCTACGACACCAACTCACGCGACCTACGGTCCTAAAACAACGATTGTCGAACACCTGAAGACGCTATTCGAACAGTTCAAGTCTCACAGCCATACGACAAAAACAGCCCGCATTGTAGCCTGATACACATGTTTCTTGAGATTCAGGGATATACCGCTTGGACTCCATATGTGTTTCAAATTAGCAAACGCGACCCGAGCCTTGCAGATTCGTGCATTGGCCTCATCGGTCATACTACAGTCTGCCAGATTTTCTGGTCACTGACTCGGACAGAGGACTTGGGTTCAATTTTTCAAGTCAGCACTTCCGCTTTTAACCATACCAATAAGGTGACTAAATGTGTACTTATGACCGGAGCTCTAGTGAGAGCTCTGTGAAGTTTCCTGCATCTAAGTCTATAGACTGATACCCTTTAGGTGAATTGATTAGGCTGTCGTCAAGTGCCTAGAATAAGGTGGAAGATAGGACCAAAAGACAAAGTCGATAGCTTATTACTCAAACTTGGGATCACATCAAAAATTTTGGAGTAGACGGTGTAGAGTGCTCATCGTCAAAGATCAAGACGATGGTGTCCGTACATTCCAAGCTTACCAGTCTGCCTCTAGGTGCAAATTCGGTACCATTAAAAGCTGCATTCCATTGGGATAGTGATGAAATCCAGCAGTTGTTGCAAACTCTTACATGAGAACAGAGGGCACTGTGTATATTTCAGGGACATTTTTAGTTGGCCAAGTAAGTGTGGAGGAACTAACCTAACTGCAGTCGAGGGAAAGCGCAGTCATTGGCTGACTGTAGTTGTGGCCCTGCTAAAGCACCTGAAGTAACGTGACGGTGTGATCAATGCAGCCCATATGGGGAGTAAATTCAGCTTGATGCCTTCGGATTTGCGCCACACGTGTTGTGGATAGGAATCGCAACCTTATTGAAGTTAGTAACCGTATTATGATAGGCATAAGACTTATATCTCTATGTTCAGAACAGTCAATTCTTATACAGTATCTGAATGACCCCCGTTATCCGGAACTCATTCTTGTTAACAAATGAGATATAAACAACCTAGCTAGGACAGAAAACATAAAACACATCATCGCCTTCAAGTAGCGCCAGTGGAAGGTCAAAGAACTGGCTGCCACCGGTTCTCCAACCTAAAGACTGCTTGTCAGAGTTTTATCCGTGTAGAAGACACTTTGTTGATGCTGCATCCTCCAGTACGGATCACTGGATTGCTGAGGTACGCAAATCGTCGCATAACGACAAGATCGTCTCTTCTTGGCAGGAACTATGGTTATGATAAACGGATACAACGGAATTCACAACTAATCAGACATCTGATGAATTTTCCAATAGTTCACTTGTTCAGGCACATCACTAAAAACCGCAACGACTTGGCCATGTATCACGTGTACCGAGTTGTTTTCTACCGAGGACAGCGTTGTTTTCTATGCTACATACTGACTAGCGCAAATCAAGTACAAAGCGGCAGAAGAAAATGAAGATGACCACCGAAGGCTTGAGGGTTTCGCGCCTTCCAGCATGGAGTGCACCTGGTTGGAGACATTGTAAAATATAATCTCTAGCTGACGGCAGTAGTGTTCAAGCTGACCAGATTACCGGAGTGAAGGTGATCACGATGAACAAGAATATGACGTCACTTATGAGTGACAGATCCGGGTCCATGTCATCCTAAGCAGACAGTGAACAAAACTGAAATCGCACACAGTCTACACGCTTTTCCCTAAAGTTCAACAAACATAGGAAAATAGTAATCTATACACCAGAAGTTCGGTTAAGGATTAAAGACGAAACTGACTCTTCAAGAAGAAGACTAGAACAACTCCAAAATCTGTAGGAAACTGTCAGGACCCAAAGACTTTTATTCTTAGGACTGAGTATTTTGACTAGATCACTATCAGGTGTCAAACGCTTCTCTCGGTTAATGTAAGAAGTCGACACCAATTTCCTCATCGAAGTGGAACAAATGCGTGTCGTCAAGTGATGCTGCTAGTCCATGTGGTGAGAAATAAACCAGGCATTAAACTCTTACCAGTTGACAAGACAGGGCAACGAAACTAATGGTCCCAACAGGAATACCGATCGCCAAAATAAGTGGTAGCGTGAACGGAGTGAGCAGAAGAACCGCCAGTAGAACGAGAAGCCGACGCCTCGTAGACCATCGTCGTTTACCCCATATAGAACACCCATCGAGACTAGGCAGAGCAAATGAGAGAAAACAGAGGCTCCAGTTGAAAAACTTCGTCTGTGTGGAACCGAACTCAAAGAAACAACAATAACAGTCTGGTATAGACCGCATTCCTGATGTCGACTCTTATTATCGCAAGACTATTTCAGTGTTTAAAAGCGTAGGTTATAGACAGTGACCAACACTTTTCAACAAGGTATGCACCGCAGTTCCGACAGGTTAGTTAAGGCTTTTAAGAACAGAGTGGCTTTTTCACCTACGGTCGATCCATAAAAGTGACGCATAGAATGAATTAGCAATTCATCCATCCCGTATTAATTAAATGTTTCGACTCGGATAATTAGTGAAAAATAGCCCCCGTGAGTGGAACATCTCTACTAGCTCAATATACTACGCAACAATCTAATAGGATGGGACATAGGGCCTGGTTCGGAGATGGAATATGCATTCCTTTAAATCACGGTGGAGAGTTTCTAGACTCTGCCAGTTGTAAGGGCATTAAGTATTCATTGGGGTTGGTGTGTCGCGACCTGACGATGATCAAGCCAGTAACTGGACTTGCTCGGGTTGGCTGAGGTCTCGACTGCAAATGGTCGAACAATTCCATTGAATTGCATTCTCAGGGTTCCACTGCTTTCATGCGTGCCAAGGGTGACTTAAGTCGCCTCAAGCATACGTGAGCGGAGTGACTCCACCGTGCAAGCCGAATGTGATAAGAGTGACGGTGAGACTAGCGGAAGCTTCTCGCTACCTCTGTGCACGTCCAACATTGAGAGCTCACTGGTTCGATGTGAGGTTAGGTGGGACATTGGTGAGGCTAATTGGGACAATGGTGAAACATGCCAGAAGTGGTACACAACACTAAGTTGTTATACTGAATGATGGGACGCACATACTTTCACGAATAAATCTAACTTTGAGCAACCAACATTTTCCGTTTTCGTATAGTTTTGCGGCTTTAATAGTGAGTCTGCTAGACCGAAAAGTGCTCACGTCGATCCAAGAAAATCATTTAAATGCGGGGCAAAAACATATGGTTGACTAAATGGATAGCACAAATGTTTACGCTGGACGGTGTAAGACAAAACAAGTCGGTTAGGTGGCCTTATCAGGTACAAAACTTGTAGGATACTGAAAAGTAATAGCATCCGAAAGCTAGACGACGTTCCCGTCATTCCTGCAGCTCTGAAAAGGGTACCTTCATGACAGTCTGATGCTCAAACAAACTATTGACCGAACACGGCTGAGCTGATCACCTCAGCTTCGTAAATGCAGTTTATTTGCTTTCAACCACGGAACAGCAGCTCCACACGGTAAGGCTGCTGCGCGGGAAAGTACGCTTATTTGAAATTCCACCAAGTATCCCCAGCACTTCACTCAAATTCATGGTGAATACCCAAATGCGCGCTAGGGAACTCAACTCAGGAGTGATTTGGTGTCACAGTGGTGCACCGACATGATGTGTCTGTTGACCTGACGTAGCCATGTTCTTACAGTAAATGTGCGGCGATATTTTGATAAAAGCGGAAGACTCGGAATACACCGGTCACTTAAGTTGGAAATAGTCTGAAACGGAGGGCATACAACCGAAATGAGGTGGATTAAGTGAGATATGCAGGAATGTTACTAGGATGGCAACCCAATTTGGGGTGCATCGGCGTTTTTGTGCGTCAAGTAATTGAAGGACTGCAGTGAAAACTCGACAGACTACAAAGACTAATTTCGGTGAGTCCAAGAAAAACTGACCTTGGCGTTCTCGTGCTAAGAACCTCGATAGAACTTTACAAGATGTATCCCACCACTCAGAAAGCTCAAGTAAGCCTTATGCTAAGGCTTTGGCTCATCTGAAAGCAAGGCAACCAAACAGCAGTAAACACATGATGAGAACACAACTGAGCCTCAACAAAACTTACACCAAGTAATGTCCGGCAGAGTTAGGACGTAGACAGAGCCAGCAGAAATTGAAACCGCAGATGGCACAGACCATATCATTACAACTACCGTCATCCACTTTCTGGATAAAGGTATTGCATTTTGGACACGGTTTGATTTTTCCTTGTGAAATGAAAAAAAAAACATTAGAACCGGTGTAAAAACTTCACCAGCTACCTTCAGTTTAACAAATTGAAGCAGATCCCTGAAGAGAAACACGCTGTGTCTTACATAAAACATGTCTCATATCAGTCGTAGCAGTCTGCAAGCTAAGTAATGAAAGCGATTCAACCACCAAGTGGCACATTAACATGGTTAGGAATGGAAATGTCAGCTCAAAGCCCAAGTACACATCGTACGCATGATACCATTGGACTGATCGTCCGCACACCCGCAAACATCTAACCCGAACGCCAAAATGGGCACTTCTCAACAGAATCCAAGAAGTTAGCGCGGTTAGCAATCTGCGAAATGGATCAAGTGGTTAGAGCGCAAATTTACAGACCAGTAGATCTGTGGTTCGAACCCGACCTCTGTCTCCCGACTTTCCCTGTCTAGGCTTGGGCAACCTGGCAGTATCCCAGCCCTCGTACCTCCTTCGTGTGGCATGGCAGCTAGGCACCGAAAGGGTGCTACAGCTGAACGATTAATTATTTTTTTAATCTGTACATTGCGTCACATTACACCAGGGCACATACACGCACTATTGCATGGGAAGCTATTGATGCTGTTTTCTCCTCGGGCTTTCCAGTGTGACAGACAAGAAGTTTATCATCCCGTAGCTTGGTAAAATAGTGGTTACCCTTCAGCTCAGTTCTCGATCTGAGTCTCCAGCAGAAGAAATACCTAGGGTACATAGAGGGAATTACACGTTTAAATGAAGTAAAAAAAGGCATGTATATCGCGCAGTTTTTAAGGTGTACGTAACGACAACATTCTGGAAACTCAGAAGCATTCTGGACGCGGTATTGGCAACTGGAATGCACCGCAAAGTGGAACACTATTGGCTGCTGATCCACATTATTGACCAGGGTTAAGTTTGAGGCTAGGCCTGCAGTGCTCCGACCTTCCGACCAATCACGTGCGAGGTGGCCTCATCGACTATTGCAAGGCGGTTTTGGTGTAATAATCTGCCTAACAGTGAACCGATACAACTGAGACAGACGATCCGAAAGGCTCTACACAGCCAGTCGCACTAGGGTTGTGGTAGAGACAAACTGGGCGGGGTCAAAAATGTGTTGGCTCTGCAGCGGTTGAGGACGAACAGTCACATTTGACGAAACCGATCCGTGTGCGGTAGCTAATCTGAATATCACCAAAGCCAACTCAGTCCTCTCTGGGCAGAATGGAAATGAATCGGAAACTCGAGCACAATCTGTAAGATACTATTCGAATAGGGGACAGTAAGTTGTTACTCGACCTTAAGCATCGATGCCCGATGGACTCCTTCATACGAATTTTTCGTGCCACCCGCCCACCGAGTAAAACTTCACCCGAGAGAATTCCTCGATGCCTCTATAATAGCACGAGATTAAGAGTGGCTTCATTACTAGTCAGAAAATGGTCTAGCAGATAGACGAACAAATTAAAAGAACATCACCGGCAAACTGAAATAAGCTAGGTGAGTCGGGTTTTTGTGAATTAGCAGAGGTTTTGGTCGCACTGCATTCGTAACCTATTTAGACTCGAGAAAAATATCAAACGAGCGAGCGGATCGAATAACTTACCTATCTCATCACTCTACTCTACTGTATCGCTTGTTATATCGAATTTCAGCTGGACTATCACTGGCTCTGGTATCCGTTACATTCAGTGATTTTGCAGCGGATACGGGCTGGAAAAGACACTGATGACGTACCAAAATTCACGACCATGTTAGAATGGACAGTTAGAGAAAAGTTATGGGAAACGTTGGTTACGTTCAACGAAGACAATGGGACACTTTGGTCGTTTGACATTTTAATTCAGGGATGTGTCATTATTCAAAAACTAGAGTCTTCACTGCAAAACCCGAGACGAACGTTTAAAACCGTGGACTATATAATTGTTTTCGATCTGTTAAAAAATACTTTGACACGACTACTAAACGATCACAAACTGATGCCAAAGACTGATAAACTTCGGGCCGCTCGTCAGTCCAGCATCAGGGTGAGCTGTGATTGGCCGAAAGTCTGGGCACAACAGCCAATTGGGATCCAGTAGCCGCCGAATGCCGGCTGCCAGTACCGTATCGAGGTGATCGAATTTGCAACCATCCGATCAACAACCAATAAATTTCCGGAATGTCGTCGCCGCTATACTTCATATACGACGCACTGTATGTGTTTCTAACCCGGTTTTAGGCGTTAATATACTTTGCGCAACCTTTGGTGGTTGTTTTGACGGTAACAAAAGCCGCCATGAAACCAGGCGAATCTTCAAACAGCTGCGTCTTCAAGCGCAACATTTAGGCATCCAAACCCACCAACTACCATCCCCGTTAACACAGTGTGTTATCAGAAGTGCATGGGAAGATGTTTGATACAATGAACAGTTCGAGCCATTTATCTTTATTGCCCCTGAACTAGGACTTCGGTGACATAAAATCGCCTTTGAGTTCTTAAGTCACTAGTTTCGCCAAAATTGAATTTTCGTGAATTTAAGGAGCTGACTAGAGCAAACTGATGTAAATCAGAAGGTTAAAAAGATCATTGTTGGCCTCTGCAAACAAGTCAAATGTGTCACGTCACCTCAACTCTGTATTCGGCTCGAAGGTAACATATCATTTATATTTTTTCAGATTTTAATATATGATCTGTAGAAAACGCAACAATGCGCGATATTGGAAAACAGATCAGAACAATTAACTTAGAAAAATAAAATAAAGAGTCGCCTTTTTGATCGCTGCTAGAACGCTTAAAAATAGATGTCATAACATTACTGCGCCACACCTGTTGAATTGCAGCATGAAGTGAAATTGATTTAGCACACACAATAAGGTAAATTCAAATAACCTGTGTTAGTACACTACTCATAAGGTCGCTGAAAATTCTTTGACTCCCCAAGACCGGTTTCATCAGTTTTGGGGCTAATCAGGTAGGCGCAGTCCATGAGTTTCCAACGAACCATAGTTCCCCTTGAAACCAAATTGCACGAAATTAGCGAAATACACTCATTTGTAAACAAATTTGGTTTTGACGGGAGACTCACCTGGAATCCAGCTAGATCCCTCGTTTATAATATATCTAAGCAACTGAATGTGCTGCACCAGGTCGCCTCATGTTTCAGTTGGTATGAGGTATCGCGATACATGTATAGACGTAAATTCCGAAATATAACTTTTCAAAGTGTGTTTAGCGTACCAGGTGGAAGGCACAACCTTATGTGTAGTGTATTACGTCTATAAAATGTACCGCGATATATCGAATATCATACCAACTGAAACATGAGGCGGCCTGGTGCAGCACATTCAGCTGCTTAGAAACATCGTAAACAAGAGATTCAGCTGGGTTCCAGGTGAGTCTCACGAAAAACCAAATCTGTTTGCAAGTGAGCGTATTGCGCTAGTTTTTCGTGCAATTTGGGTTCAGACAGAACGTAAGCAATTGTTCTGTCTCGTTTTCTATGGGTGAAGGAAGCGGAATTATACAAGGTGATTCACATAGCACATCTTTAATGATAACAAATGCGTCGTCGATATATCTCAGGCAGTAGAAGTGCATGATTCTGTGGTCGATTGCTTGATCGTTACGGTATTGGCGAGGTTAGGACTCGTGGGTTTTTGTATCTTCAAGATGCCTGCAATCTTACACAATCCTTCGTCAGAAAATGCTAGGGCAGCTTGCTCAACCATGGCTCAACGCAAGCGATGTTGGAATTCCGGTCTTTTTGTAATGCACATTGTTCAGCTTGGGCCAGATTTTTGTCACACATTCTGAAAAACTCGTGTCAGCAGTTTCGCCGGTACGAGGTGGTAGAAAACAACACGCGTTCCAATGTATAAAGGAGATTCACGCACAACAGGCTGCATGTGATGCGATAACTCAGTTCCCAAGGTCAGGTGTCAAACAAGCACACAGAGTAACACTCAGTTGCCATGACACACATGAGTCAAGCCAATCACAACACACAATACTGACCAGTTTTTGGCCAGCCATATCAACAGTCTTTCATCGTTAATCATTTTTTCCTCAACAAGGGTTTATTCTCAAGGAGCAAGCAGCAATCATCAGCCTGTGTCATTTACGGCGTCAGCAACGAAATTCACTGAACCTCATGGGTCATGCATACAAGGCGATCGTAACAGCAGCAGTGAAAAAGGAGTCATTGTTCGGCTGTAACACCCCTTCAGTGTTTAGCCGTCACACTATCCTAAGAATGCACGAGGACTGAGACACTGCCAGACTGCCAAAGACCAAGAGCGACCAAGATGCCGGGGTTGAATTCGAAACGCGAACCTTCCGTCAGTAAATTCGCGGCTTAATCACCAAGCTATGTCGATATCTTATAACATCAGTCTCACGTGATTCCGAAGAACCTAAACATCTACAAAGATAATATTAACAGTCCCGTTGTAGCAAAACAGTTGCTGGGTGGACTCAGCATGCTCACAAATCAACAGTGCACAAGCAAGTATTTGAATCAGTAATCAGGGTAGCAAATAAAGCATATCAATGTCAAGCGTACTGTCATATTATGACCGAACTGTTCAGACAGCTTGTCTCTGGTTGTACTGTGGGTGGGGTACACCAGGATAATGAGTCAATTCTATTGATGGTTATTGCCGCGTGATGGGAGTGTCCTTTCCAACGATATTTGGAGGTGGTCTGCGTCCTGCTCTCGATCGGTTTCTCTAGGAATACACTACTTAGGCTTCTTTAGGTTCCTCTCGACTATTTAACAGTTTATTCTGTCCTCTTGGTTGTATCGCGGTTTGGCGTCGGCGATAATTACTGATGCACTGCTGCTCACGATGACAGTGATTACTTAAAGCAAATTGGCTTCCATGACATCGTTGACGTCCATCATTGACATAGATCTGAACACCAACCAACGCTACGGGAAACCAACTACAAAACAACTCACCAAGGTTCAGCGGACAGAAACTGCAAAGTAAAACACAAGTGGGAGAGTAATACACCTCCTAAAAGCGACAAATGAGATACCAAACGTACCTCCCACGGGAACAGGTTTTTTGGTCATAAATTCGGAGGGAGTTGTTGTAGGACTGACGTCGGTTTGGACATCACCTGGTGTTATTCTATGGAGATGAACATGACATGGAAACTCAGTCATCCATATTCTATGGTAGTTTTGAAAAGTGCAATACGGAACGTTTAATTCACATAGAGAAAAAGTTACAATCTCTGCATTAAGATCTACTCAAACAGAGGACTATCCAGTACAGCTTGATAGGTCTCTAGCCCACGCACTTTGTCGACGTAACGATGGAAGAAAGACAATCACCCAAATACGACTCAGTTCAGCTGAGCTCGGTCTATCAGATAGGAACCATGTAAAACTGCACATTAGTTGAGGATCAGGTGACTGCTGAACTGTTTGCCGAGCGTGGTAATTTACTTGCAAACGTTTCACCATCAGTCGGTGTGCGCACTACTGATGCCCCTAACATTGATGATAAAACGTTCACAAGCAAATTCTCAGGCTTGGAGAAGAGATCACCGGTCGGTTGCTCTACAAACAATTAACGCACCCAAGCTACCAGTATTTCGAAATATTTTCAAAAGTTTTGTTACGGTAGAATTGGGACGTCGATGGTGAAGTACTGAAGCAAACAAAGTAAGCGAATGGATAAAAAAGCACATTGAATAGGGTATTTGGCACTGACTGGTGGGTTACTGATGTCCTAATTTTGCAGATGGTATCGGTCGACACGACTGGCCTGTTGTTAGCATTTTTATACTTAATCCCCAGATCGTGCTCTGCCTATTGGGTATATCCTCCCGGTAAAAACAAGCTTCAGCAAACAGAGGACGATGATGCAACCGACCACTTGACATACGAAAAATATAACCAAGCCATCTAATCCAGCTCTATCACAGCACAAGTATTCGTTTTGCTACCGGAAGCCGTTTGTTGCACGTAGACATTACTAACCCGGCATCTCCATGATACCTGCGCAATTCTTCAAGCGCAATGAGTGAAGCGACAGTTACCATAGTGGTGACCCGGTGATTCGCGAAATCAGTTCTAGTGCCTTCTCCAAATTTTATGACAGTACCATAGACCTGTCACTCTTTACATACTTCTTATGCTTTCCAAATGTTTTGCATGAGTAGTCACAGGTAATGGGGAAGTATTTGGTAGTAGATTAGGTGGCTGTTGACCTGTTCAGCAAGCTTGACAACCGAATTGCAGGCGTTTCCTCGCCGTTCGAGGAGACACCACCAGCGCGATGCTGGATGGATCGAGTCATTCTCCATCACCATCGTTTCAGAAGTCCGAAAAACAATCGTTAGGTTCATCTTTGATTGAATTTGAAAGACAGGTAAGCTATTATTCAGTGCTCCGCCCACTGCACCATATAACCAGACGTCGTAACGATCTAACTAAACGGCAGTCTTTTCAGTTTGAATAGAATTCGGCTGTTTCCAACTGTCCCGTGCTTCCCTGACTTTATCGCCTTTCCGTCCATCACTTCGCTTTGATCATTCTGGAGGTTGTCGGCTAGTCACCAATTCAGAATTCCCTGTACTACATTGTGTTGTCTATCCGGAGACGTGGATTCCATCAATTCCACAGGCGCTGCACGGATCCAACCTGAGTTGAGCCTCGTTTTTTTCGAAACCACGTGTCCGAAGACTAAGTCCAGTGTAGTCTACAGTTCTTGACATTTATCGTTTGGTTGTCCAAGATAAGTCCCGAAAGCTTTTTTGATAGACTGCTTTGACAGTTGTCTTTCAGTTACGCAACATTAAATTTTCCTCACAGGCGCAATAGAAACGACCGGAGGAAGCCACGTAGCATGAACGCACCATATAAGTCTTATGGTCATTGATTTCTCTTCAGTTGTGTAAGTCTGCACAATTATTACATGGGCGACAGTCTTGGACGGGCGAGCGCCGACGATAGCTGATCGCTGTGATCTATCCGAGTGTTTGATTGGTTGTGCTTTGGAGGACGCCAGGTGACTGACGGGTCAGTATTTGTCTGAAATCAGTACTCACAATAAACAGACAACAACCAGCATAAGGCTGTAAAAGTGATCACCATTGTCAGTGCTGGGAGCGTATGCGCGAAATTCTCACCCCAGATAGCTCTCGAATTTATTGCGTTGCCGGAAGAATCGTGAAATTCATGTAACATGCCATCTGGAGGGATCCAATTAGATTTACGTTTGACAATTGTTCAGGTGTAACACAGTTCCGGTGCCTAGCTGCCATGCCACCCGAAGTAAGCACGAGGGTTGGGATACCGCCAGGTTGCCTAAGCATAGACAGGAGAATTCGAGTGGTAGAGATCGGGTTCGAATCAAGGACTTTCCGGTCAGAAAATTCGCGTTCTAATCATTTGAGCCATCTATCGCGGTTGAACGTCTCACTGCACCGATTCTTGGTGGATATGTACCTACGTGCCTCTTTTGTTACTGGTTGTCGATTCTGACAAACATGGCTTGTCTGATCGTACATTGCCCGTTGTCCACAAGAATCCAATCAAGCAAAGAACTCAGCGCGATTATCCCATTCCTAAAACAGCAGAACTTCATACTAGATCACAAGAAGACTGAAAGGTAATTCATGTAGAAACGGTAGCGGGATTTTGTTTGCGTTTTTCGGAGACGGCATGTGTCAATATTTAGCAAGAAGGAACTCCTATTTACGTATGTAACATAGATTGGGGCCCTCAAAGAATGTCACGTTGAAGGGATCTCATAGATTTAGAAGCACATGTCAAGTTTTTGCTTTTCTGGTCACGGGATTGACGGAATAAGTAAACCAGTGGATCGCATCAGTCAGGAAAGGGAGTGAATCTGGAACAGTGAAAAGTATCATCACCCGTCCCTGTCCTGCGCTGATACACGATTATCCAAACCGAAGACAGGGGTTAGATTGGAGATCCATATGTTAAACTTTTGGCTTGAAAACCTCACTCAGGAGGCAAAGAAGTATGCCGAGGTTTTGTTCTAGGACCGTACCCGCAGTCCTTGACTCAACAATCTGTCCAACAGAGCAGCGGGGGTTGAAGTTTTCCTGGGGTAAGCCCGCGGACCTGAAGGCTAATATAAACGAGATCAAGTGAATTTCAGCTGAGCCCTTCATCAGCAGTAACTGGGTTTGCAAATGGATCTCTATTAAAAGTCGATAAAGATTCAGAGATTAGGCCAAGCTGAGCGAAAAGAAGACAAAGCCGGTAGTTCATTGTCCAAAGTTTTCATCCACTCTGTGCAACCTGGGGAATAAAGCAGCGGACGCCATGAGGTCAGATGGAGTAAAAGACGGTAAGATGCGGGTCTGAAAAGCATATGACATCCACAGACCAGAGGCATAAGAATGCCAATGGTCGAATCTCGGTGGAGGTAGATAAGACACGAGTGGTGCATTCGAGCACCTCAGGCCAATGTGAGATCAACTTGAAGGTCTCTGATACGTGATTCAAAATCCGAAACGTTCTTATGGGCTATAAGAAATCGCTTGTCCAACAGTCCAGTGTCAGCGCAGAGGAATGTTTCACCCAGAACTGTCCGGAACGGAATTACTAATAAACGGACTGATAAGTGCCATTCAGGACGGATTAAATGACAGTAATTGTCATCCCAACATTGGATGGTTCAGAAGCACGCGAGCACATAACGATATGGTTCCTGGAAAAAGTACAAAAGTAATGCAGCTAGCTGTACAATTTCTTCTGTTGGCTTTCAAAGTCTTGAAAGGATAGCTTTCATTTTGAAGAGGTATGTATGGCTTCCGTTCGAGTAAAGTGGATCCGAAGGTGGTTTACTATTGCCTCATTTCGTCCGTACATTTATAGTAAGATCTGCAATGTGCCATAGGAAATTGCTGACAAGTAATTTCATGCTTGCTCGAAGAGTGTAAGGAATTAGATGCTGAAATATTGATAACACCGGTGAAATCCCGTAGTACTTCAAAATCGTCGCGAGAGATTTCTCAGGCGGTATGAGAAGACATCAAAAGACCGCACTATCTTACGTCTAACTGGAACCATGAGTGGCGCATGGAAGCACCGGCTACCAAAATTCTTTGGAAATATTAATATCCGGTTATCCAGCCATCCAAAAATGCCTGAATATTCTCCGCAACTTTCACCATTGGTTGTTATCATCAACAACAGCACTGAATCAGTGCTCAACATTGATGCCTGCTGCCGTAATATCCGGTTATCCAGCCATCCAAAAATGCCTGAATATTCTCCGCAACTTTCACCATTGGTTGTTATCATCAACAACAGCACTGAATCAGTGCTCAACATTGATGCTCTGCTGCCGTACAATCATGACCTAGTTGAAAGCCTTAAGGCGAAGGAAAGAATAAAAATCGACCAGGAAGAGACTGAGTCCTAGAGTACTACAATCAAACCGAGATGCCTACACCTGCAGACACTCATTCAGGCAATCTGGATAAAAACTGACAACACGAGCGCCACTGACATCGACTAGCAGCCATATCTTGCAGCGTCTCCAACCATGCGCAGCGGGGATCACAGTCTCCATTCTGGTAGGCGAGCAGCACCGATAGCACCCAAACTTCTCATAATCTCTTCCATACCCTTCTTCCAGGTCAAGAATGGGCCATATCTGCTTCCGCTACTCTCAACGGGGCATAGAAAACAGCACTCTTCAGCAAACGGTCGTTCGGCACACGTAATACATGGTCTAACCAATGCAGCTTCTGGTCCTGGACACATTTTTCAATGGAAGTTCCCGTTGCGCAACCAAAAATTCAACTAATTATCTCGTTACAGATTCTCCGACACCTACCTACACGAGCTATGCTTCTGAGACAACGGTTGTCGAACAACTCAAGATGTCTTAGTTCCCCTGCTCGAACAAGTCAGGTCTCGCAGACATACAGCAAAATAGCCCGTATTACCACCTGATACAAAAATCCCTTGACATTCAAAAAATATACCTCTTTGACGCCATGTGTCTCATATTAGCAAACGCGGCCCGAACCTTGCAGATTCGTGCATTTACCTCACCTGTCAAACTACAATAAGAACCAATACATTGGTGGTCTTAAGTCAATCGAAAAGAAATGATGTCTCAAGAGACAAGTATTTTCTCTCCGTGAAAAACACCTCTCGAGTAGACTAGCATTCTACTAGAATTAGTGAGTGATGTTTTGGGAGTATTACCATAGTGGTTGTGTTTACAAACAGTCAGCACCTGAATCTGAAATGTTTCCGGACAAATATGTCCAGGTGTTCCAGAGAACAGCAAGACATAGAGACACACAACATACTTTCAGAATAGAAGACCCGACGAACTGAAATAACACACAACGAACGCGTTACCATTGACAGCAACTTCGGCGGAAATTCCGTCCATTTTTAAACTCGCTTGCCTACTGGACTAGTCGTCCCCCCCCCCAACAGCAGCTGACCTGGAAATCAGTCTTCTCGATATGATATGGAGACCTGTAATTCTTGGCGGAATAGTACATTTAAGGGTGGAATTCCGGGGGAAAGTAAGAGAATGAAAAATCCGGTACATCTGGCAGACTGGTGCGGTTGAATTCTGACAGACTTGGGTCAACATCTGGGGTTGAAGAGGATGAATATTCACAGCTCACAGTTGTGCTAGACCGGGCGAGATAGTTCAGTGGCTCAGTGCGAATTCACCGACCGGAAGGTCAGTAGTTCGAACCCGACCTCTGCATCTCGACTTCCCCTATCTAGGCTTGGGTAACCTGGCAGTATCCCAGCCCTCGTGCTTTCTTCTGGTGGCAGCTAAGCACCGAGAGGGTGCTACAGCTGAACCACGCTATAGACCGGTCGGCCAGACGAAAAATAGGAAGGCGCCAGATGTATTGTTGCTAGAACCAGTGTCCAACATTTCAGGCGCTCTTGTTTTCTGGATTTCAGGCAAGCGTTATAGTAGTTGAAAGCCTCACTGACTTGTTGCATTACAGCAGGTCATTGGATGTCATAAGCCGATATTTACCCATACCATGAGAAAAATAAGTGATCACGTCAAAACACGGAAAGTCAGAGTCGATAGTAGTTGAAAGCCTCACTGACTTGTTGCATTACAGCAGGTCATTGGATGTCATAAGCCGATATTTACCCATACCATGAGAAAAATAAGTGATCACGTCAAAACACGGAAAACTGGGTCAGAGTCGCCTAATAATGCTCGATGACAAAAACCAGCGAAGCCAATGATTGAAGGTACGATGAAAATGTGCCATCTCCTAGAGAATACGAATTTCGTCAAGGGTTTTTCAGAATGTTGCCTGATCAAACCCTATGTGCAAGACAACGTTGCCATGTATGTTCAAAACGAGGGGGTGTTGATGGCTCGACGAAAACAGCAAGCAATTAGGAGGTCGTACCGGGATTGACACTAAACCAAACGAAAAGGTATACTGGAAAATTAGGGCTTTCGACTCGCTTGATCGAATAATGTGTTTGAAATGACGAATCGATTGCGAGCATTGTCCATGAAGACATTGTTGAGAGAAGTACCAAAGAAATACCACCGATGCTGTACTCAAAATGTTTCAAGTAGAGGGCTAAATGTATACCTTTCAGGAGGGGAAGAGCTTACACGAAAAGAGATTTTGGTCAGTTTTGATAGTTCTCCTTAGGAAACAATTGTAGCCCACAACCACCGGAGAAGCAATACGGAGGAACTCAGTTGCTAGGTTTCTATACTCCTTCCTCTGAACCCGGCAACATGCAAATACTACATGTGAAGGTTGGCTCCATGGTGAGACTGCAAAGTATTCTACCTGCACACTCAACCGTTTCACCCACCTAACACAACTTAAATACTGCAACCGCACGACGCTGTTAGTAAGAAATCAATTAGTTAAAGGAGCACCGCGGGTTATTGGTGAACATTCTCATAAGATGAACACTAACCAATGTCATGGGACAGACGCTCAGTAGAAACAGAACCAATATCAAAAAAGTGAAGACGAAGTGGCAGTTAAGATATGTGCACACGCATGAAGAAAACACATTCCGGATTGGTTTAGGACTCACTTATCATCGAGAGGCGTATGGTCGTAATTCTGAGTACGTAATTCCGGGTAATCGGTTGATCGTGCGCCATTAGCGTGTTCAGTCATAGGAGAGTTTTGCCGTGGTAGCACGGTATCCAAGGGAGCCAGGGGAGACTTCAGCGGATGGTCTATTAGGATAGAGTCCCGGTGGCAAATCCGACTAACGTCAAAGAAAGGCGCAACGGATTCATCGGTGTCGTTCTTGTCCATGCTTCTTGTGTAACAGACGTGCATCGATTCAGTTAACACCGAGCTTTCTGGACGACAAGGATCTGTTATCCAAGGTCGCCGACAATTGTAACAGAACGATAGTCCGTTACATTCAGGTCGTTGACAGTACAGCTGTGGGCAGCGCTGGAAGCCATGGGCGATTACACCGTAGCTGAAATGGATAAAGGCAAGTCTATACCTTTTGTGGTCATAGCTTTTTGAAGGGACGCGAGATATGAGAAGACCCAAGTTGTGATTCAGGCATTTAGTTAAACAGCTTGGTACAACCGCAGAGGAGTGTCTAACTGTGGGCTAGCGAGACACTCTAACCAGTTAACCGAAAGATTTTCGATGTTCGGTCACAATCACAAAAACTCACATGCCAAGATAAACCTGAAGCATACTCCCTTAAGGTGTCTAATTTGTACGGACACCATAGAATCGGTTTGCACATCCGCATGCATCATGCATGCAGTGAGTATGTGGTACGACCGTGTAAATGATTCGCATCGAGTGTGAGTAAGGCGACGACATTGGTTCAAGGAGAGGACCGCCGGTGACCGATCGCTAGTGGTGGTTCACGAGGTACTGAATGGACTAGTATAAATAAGGCACTAAACACGTCCACGTATTAGCACCTGCTGAGGAAAATCACGCACATAATGGCACGCTAATTCATCACGTCTATGTCCTGTGTAATTTTCAACGCAGGGTATAAGTGTTAAGCGGCGTGAGCTGTAAAAATTGAATTGTTATGAACCCCCGATCGTCAGCTTCCGGTCAAATGACGTGTTTCATTGACCTAGATGATGTCTTTAGTTAGCTAGATGGAGATTAAATATATCCCATTTATACTGGCCTATAAAATGAAGTATTCACCGGATTCTTAATCAGTTTGCTTCAGCCGATGTTAGTCCGCGGATCGGCAACTACTTGCCAAACGAGATATGGTTGTCAGACATTACGTGGTACCATTAGCATATCGAGGTCAATGGCTCAAGAGCCGTTGTTACAGGTATTGTCATGGTTGTCAGACATTACGTGGTACCATTAGCATATCGAGGTCAATGGCTCAAGAGCCGTTGTTACAGGTATTGTCCATCATTTGCGTTGACGAAGCAAAATCGTTTCAATTGGTACGAAACAGATGACCGCATGATTTTGTTCAGATCAAAGGCTTTTGGTATACATGTCAGACCATGCATACATACACAACATACGTTTTTCAACCTCTACACACACAATAGAGACGCAGTCAGCCATCCTATAGGTGTTCCGGCGTATTCATAGATTTCGCAAATGAAACAGTCTTCCCGAAACAGTGAAGCGGAAATTCCCATTTGTTGGCCGAGCCTCTAAAGTCACCTCGTAACATTTCTCTGTAGCCAAAACTCATAGAGGACCTGGCATCATCATCATCAAAGACAGCAACATCAGTGTTGACACTGATGCTTCGATGCCGTGCGTGGGGTATGGTAACAACGAAACATCAGTGCTGAACAATGATGTTATGCTGTCCATGGTGATGAGTATGGCATCAATCGCAATAATCTAGCTCTCGTTTCTTGCAAAAACATGTCTTCAATTCTTGAGTGACACGGGGCATTATTATGTACCAAAAAAATAGCGGCTGAAGTCCTTGATCCCAATTTTACAACCGACTGCTATGACCAATGCTTGCGACTTTCAATTGCGTAGTTCACTTCTTAATTTTTGAAGTCCACAAATTTATATTCCGCCATAGCCCCGAATAGATGCTGACTTTATCCCCCAAGTGCCTGTCTTCCTTTGCGGTCACAACTCTGAGCAGCGGCAAAACAGGCTAAAGTTTGTTTTGCCAAAACAAAAAGCTATCTTGCTTTCTGACCATCGCGGAATGATGCGTTAAAAATGGTGTATGCTCAAATGTACTTTCCCTTCAGATCTCACCATTTTCTGAGATTCAGGTAGTTATCCAGGTAGTTAGCAAGCATGCTTATGCACACTTCTTTCCCCAAAGCGGCGGACGGAGTCATTAACATTTTTAGCGTGGTTTATAAGTGTATAAGTGTCTAGCCGCGACACATTGCCCATGCTGCTTCTCTAATTCCAACCCACTGAAACGACTCTTACTGACAGCGTCAGTCCGGTCTCTTCTTTTCATGCATACAATATGCTTTAATATATATTTTCAGCAGTACAAATAGGCAACTCTTGAGTAAGATGATTATGGGCCTAAAAAGTATTCTGATCGGGAGACAGTGCATTCGATACTAAATGAGTTCCAAGTCACACTCAGCACTGAGTGAAATGGGGGAAACGTCACGTTGGGTCAACCATCTTCAAGTGTGTGCTAAGAAAACGTAAATGTTATAGAAGCATTTACACGTGATTCAAAAGAGGATTTCGCTAAAAAAAAAGACGCAGTCAGTCGCCTGTGGGCCGTGGGATGCGGATTATCCAATGCAAGTTTGTCTGTCCAGGCGGATTTGTCAACCTTGTCCGTGTTTTCCATGTTAGAATGAAATCCTGGGTCTCACAGAGTTCGAAAACCAAAAGCCAAGCCAACCCAGGCTCGAATTTAAGACCGTCCTCCTTATTCAATCAGAAGCACCTCTTGGCCGAAACACTGCGTTATTCCAATCCTAGAGTTTCATAACGGAATTACAGCGTTCAACGATTATCAACGATCCAAAGATCTATTCCCGATAAACTTTGATTGACCCAAAAAGACGATGCATCTATTAAGGCCCCCAAATGGATCAATCTCGGTTATTTGCATTACGCGACAAAAACTGCTTCGCAAAATAGGTGCTGCGGGAAGGCGGAAGGATGGTCGCTCAGGTCCAAGTCACCTTTTGTACGTATACCCTCTAATACCTAAAACTACGAATATGACTGTCCAGCTACGGTGATAGTAACCGATATCCACAATAAAACCATTGATCTGAGTGCATTTATGGATACCTGCCAATGCATTGACAGTCATTATATAATTCAGGCCGAATACGAATCCTGCTCATACGACCATCAAGCCACTCTAATTCTTAGGATGTATCAAGTCGAATTACACTAACGCAAACAAAAAAAACATCAAAATTATCCTGGCCAATGAAAAATATCAGTTGACGGTGAGCTAATGGTAGTTGTTTCAAAACAATACGTTATTCATTGCGGTTGTGACGAATCACACAGGGCGTAGATATGATGAATAGCCGCTGATGAGTAACCACTGTGTGCACGCTTCTTCAGCAGTTTGTCGGACGTGGACGCACTTATCACAGAAGTAACGCCAGTCAACCCAACACCTCTAACAGCCAACAGGCCTTTAGACCACCACAGTTCTTTCGCTACCTTACAAGCACTCGATAAGAATCAGTCACCTGCTTTGACTGCACCACCAATGCACGCACCATGTGCAAAGAAGGCGAGATGGACCAAGTGGTTAAAGCGCGAATTTACTGACTGGAAGGTCCGTGGTTCGAACTTGACCTCTGCCTCTCGACTCCCCCTGTTTAGAATTGGGCAACCTGGCAGT